TAACAAAGTATGTAATACATGACCAATTAAATATATTAATTTTCACTCTCTATAACAAAGTAACCAATTAATTTCTTCAAATTTTTTACTAATTTGCTATAATAAAATTGAGATATAGAACAGCTATTTCATTATATTAAGGGTAAATTATCATATTTAATTTTATTACATCAATTGTATATAAAAATTTATTAATTAAAGTTTTATAAAAAAATTATTCAATATTATTTCATCTTCTGTAAATATATAAGTAAATTACTATAAATACTTAAATACTAATTATAAAATTTTTCAAATTTTTTAAAAAAATTACTTTATTTTTATTAATTTGAAGTTAAAATAAAATAAATTTTAATAATAAAATAATAAATAATATTAGAAAATCATTTATAATTTATTTTTATAAAATAAAATAAAAATTTAAAATTAACTCTATTTAAATTTATAAATTTTATTTAATATATAGAGAACTGCCAAAAATCTATAAACATTACTTTATATGTAACTCAATATTAGCAATTTTATGTGACTTAGCAATTTTGCAGTCATATGATATTTTAAATCTTGTTTATATAAATTATACATTAAAATGCATTTTCAAATGTTTATAGTAGTTTTCAGAAAGATAATGCTCAATCTCATAAAATGAAAAAAGCGAAAATTTTTTATACAAAAAATAATATGCAAGTTCTTTCATTATTTACTCAAGTTTAGACATTAACTTGATCAAAAATCTAGCTGATATCAAAAAAAGCATCTGTGAAAGAGAAAAAATACCTTCTAATATTGTTAAACTAAAGTGGTATATTAAAAAATTATAGAGAGAAATTTTCATATATATTATTAAAAATTTGATTAATAGTATAATATAATAAATCCAAACTATAATTAAAGCAAATAAAAACCTGATAAAGTACTAATTAATTAGTATAAAATTTATTTTATTTGTCATTTTTAATAAATATTTAACAAATTTTTTAATTAAATTTTAAAAATTTTTAATGTTTTTTAAGCCAAAAAGTATTCAAAGACTTTTGATAGCCCTTTATATATAATAAAAATAGAAATTTTGAATTATAAATTAACATTTAATAGAGAATATTTTTATATTAAAAATTAATATTTATTTTTAGTTGATAATAATAATTTATCTATTAAAAAGAAAAGTCAAAGATTAATAAATATCAGTTATAAAATATTTTTAAAAAAATTATAAATTATTAATTATTAAAAAAAATATAGTTAAATAATAATTTATCAAATAAAATAGAAAATAAAATAAATTTAATTTAATTAGATATTATATGTTCAAAATAAATAAATACTAATTTTATCTTGTTAAAATAATAAAAATTAATTGATTATAATAAATATAGAATAAATATAATATTATATAAAAAGAGAATTATACAGTTATATTTTCAATTATATATGAATAGAATTAAATGTAATATAAATAAAGATTTAGTTCATTTGTTAAAAATGTGTAATTCTATAATTTTAATAAATAATTTATTTTTAATTTATTAAACATTTTAAGTAATATAAAGTATTAAAAAATTAATTTTATTTGTTAATTAATTAAAATATATAATTGTTATTATAGTATTTTAATTAATAAACTATACCTTTATTTATTACTTACTTATTATTTACTTTTAATTTACTATACTTATAATTAATAATTATTTAAATAAATGCTATTAAATAAACTAAATTTATTTATAATTAAGAAAATTTTTTTTATATATAATTTTTTAATAAAATTATAAATAATAAATAACTTCTCAGAATTAAGATTCAGAATAAACTATAATAAACTTATTTTCAATATAATAAATTTTTAATATAATAGAATTAAAATTTCTATTGAATTTGATTTAAGAGATTTAAAACTAAAACAAAATAATAAAATAGTTAAAAGAAATAAATTTTAACAAATTTATAAATAAAACCAATAGATGATTTTTTTTTAACAATTTAGTATAAGTAGTGATTGAAATCTGCTGATTGTTATAAACAAATGTAATTTATTATAAATAAGCTAATCAATTTCTTTCTTTCAATTTTGAAGTCTCATCCTTTTAAACTTCACCAAATGATAATAGTAGCACAATCCACTAATATGATAGCTCAAATGATTTTTTAATGCTTACTAGCTTACGATTTACAACTCAATGATATGAATAAATAAAAATTTGTTACTGTTCTTAATTAGAAAGAAGAGAAAATGTGCTAAATCACCAAAAACAACATCACCTTCAATGAATTCTGTTCTAATTAGAAACACCACCGAACTTGAATTTCTTAATTTCTTTGGGAACTGATATAAACTCTGCTCTATTAATTGATCTTATTTATTTATTTATGTTTGTAATGATGCGGTTGAATCTTGTGTCGGTACTTCATTTATAACAAAAGAGTTAGAGTTCCGTTTTATTGATCCAATAAAGTTCTGAAATCCACCAAAATATATTCGATTATAATCCAGGGCCATCTAACAACCCTGATTTATTCATAATATCCTATATTTATACGATTAACATTGATAACCCTAAATCGAAACAAATGCTTAAGTATTCCGCAAAATTGTTTTGCTTTCGGGTGGGTACTTATAGCATTGAAAAATATAATCACGTATAAGGAATATTTTAAAAGAATGCACGCTAATCTTGATAAAAATCACATATGCGTTCGATGGACTTATAAATTTGTTTAAACGATGTCAAATTATTGATTTTCTGAAGAAATCATCATATCTTGACACGACTTAATTAATGACTAGGTAAATGACAAAGAAATAAGTAAAGTTTTAAAAATCAACCATTTTAACATTAATTACAAACGGATAAGTTACCTGCAGTTCCACCATGGCACCTTCTTTACCGAAACCTCCTTTTGGAATTCTACCATATTCCAGATCACTCAATTCATCATTGGCACTGTTTTCAGAATTTCAATGAAAAATAAAGTAACTCAAAAGTATTGATAACGAATATATTTTACAATAAATACCTTTTTATCTTTTCAAACGATCTTTTACAATGCTCATTGAACACGATGATTTTACGTGACATCTTCTTCTCGGCCACGGTTAAAGCATCAATAGCTTGCTCCAATGTTAGTCGATTATCGTCAACCTTTATACGTTATTATTAAGAAATGATCCATTCACGTATTTTATTTTAAAAAATACATCCAATGATTAATGCCCCTACCTCTTCATACATTTCATCCTCGTCATCATCATCATCATCATCAACTTGGGCACTATCAAGGTTTTCCAAATGTTCGGGCTTTTTACATTCCTCAACGATATTTTCCCTTATGGTTTCTCTAATTCTATTACGTTCCAATTGAAATTCTCGATATAAGGTCTTGACAAGAGGATTGTTTCTGTCAATATAATTATGAGTTTCTAATTGATTTGATTTAACAAAAAAGCATTTGGTCAAAGTTTACCGAATATTTTGAACTTTATCTACCTGTAAGTTGCGGGAAAAAGGTTAGTGAACTGCTTGAGGGTCAGGTTGTCTGCGAGTTCGCTGTTGAATAAAAAGGAATTGAGAACCGACTCTTCGGTGGCCATACTAATGAATGTTGACTGAAGTTCAATACAAAAGAAATAATTTAACGGGAAATGAAAAAACGCGACCCTTAAAGTAGATAATCAATGTGGTGGTGTAACGATCAAACCGTGCAACCTCAAAATTCGCGTTTTTTTGAACTTTTTTATTTTTTTATTTTTTTTTTTTAACAATTAAAATTACAATGAATCATTTAAAGAGCGCTATTAAAGATTCTATCTAAAAATGGTAATAAAATGATAAATTAGTAAAACTTATATATAATAATTTTTTTTTTTGTCGAGAAACGTCATCAAATACTCACCATAGAAACTATAACTGTAGGGTTTGACCTCACAAAGGGATAAATCACCAATTTTAATTGCTCCTTTATCAATTAAATCATATTTCTTTTTAAAAGTTTTAAATCCCTTATTCATATAAATGTGATGTTTCTCATTGCTACTATTTCTTCTACAATGTAATTCGGGATTAAATCTACAATAACCCATCCCATAAATGCCTTTTTTATATTTAACTAATTTTAAACATTTTACCTCTTGAGAATATTTTATAACGGTATGAACATAATCAAAATCATGTAAATGAAAATAATTTAATTCTAAGGTTTGTATTTGAGCCTTGCATTCTTTTAAAAAGAAATTTAATTGATTTGGAGTTAAAAAAAAATTGATTCCCAAGTAATTTAAAGAATGTGGTAATTTACTTGCCAATTGTTGCAAGTCATATTCATGAAAATTGGGATAACCATCCTGAATCTCCAAGGTAAAATGTTCAAGTAATTTTAAAGAATCAATTAATTGAAAAAAGCTAGATATATAAAATGAAAACGTTGAAATATTTAAATAAGATATGTTTGGACAATGTTCCCTCATGATTTCTACGATGTCTCTCGTGATATATCTTGAGGAGAAGGTTTGAAGGTTACGTGAAGTCATTCTAAGAAAAGTCTTAAAAAAATTTTCATTCCCAATGATATTTTTATGATAAAAATGTTTCACGGAAATTTGATGATTGTTTAAATAAAATTGTTGGGAAGGATTTCGATTGGTGAAAAATGAAGTCCTCTCCTGAGTAATCTCCAACGTTTCCAACTTTGTACAACTTATTAAGATTTGAATTAAAAGGGAATAATCATTCACGATTTGAAATCCAAGAAAGGTTAAAGAATTCTCATGACTTTTTATCGCTTTAAAAATGGCCTCTTTATTAAAATTAATGCAATGTTCATTTATCACCAAACTTTTTAATTCGATCATTGATTGAATGAAATGAGGGATGATGTCAAAATTATTTTGTAAATGATCGTGATCATTACGAATGATGAGTAATAAATGTCGAACATTCCTTAATAAACTTGAGACGCTACCGGTGAGTGTATTATGAAGGAGAGAAACCGCGCATTGAAATTCTAACTTTTGAATATTTGAAAAAACTTTGGGTAGATTTTTATTACAAGAAATAATTTTTTGAAGGGCATGATTATAATCACTTAAAGTATAATTATTTACAAAATGTTTAAAACCATAAGAAGTGTCAAAAATCATATTTATTAATAATTGAAATAAAAAGATATCATTGTTCTTATCCTTGGAGTGATATCTTCTATAAAGGCTCGTGAATTTTTCCGAGTTAAAAGTTCGTATGTATCGTGGGTAATCGAAAAGAGGTGGTGGTGATTGGGAGAGGAAATGAAATTTAACATTTCTTATTTGTAAACGTTCTTTATCATTCTCGGAAAGGCATGATATGAGAGTTTGTAAGAGGATGTTTCCTTTTTGATTTGGAAGTTCAAATGGGTTATACCATAAGAATGGCATCGCCATACGACACCATAATCGATTCACTCGAATGCATGAAAAAAGTGTGTGATGGTCATGTTTTAAATAATAAAAGATTTCCTTTAAACAATCCGGAAATCGTTTTAATCGAATTTTTTGAGGGTTTGAGCTTTTTTTGATAAGCAACTTTTGTTTTAATCGTCGAATGCTGTGTTTCATTATGAGTCAATCAAATCGTGGAAACCTTTTTTTTTTTTATAAAAAGAGTGAAAAAGTCAAAAGAAGAAAATAAAAATAAAAAAAAAAAAAAAAAGGTGAAAAAAAAAAGAAAGGAGGAGTGAAGATGATTAAGACAGAGAAATCGATAGTACCGAATAAATCACTCATTATTTTTATTTATACATTTATTTTTTTTTTTTTTTTTTTTTTTAAAAAAAAAAAAAAAAATTTCAAATATTTATCGACAGTTATCCTTTTTGTAACATCAATTTGCATCAGCTAAAATTAGTTGCAGTCGTATTCATTGGTACATAATATTTGTCATTTCCGTCCTTATTTGATTCGTCCGGAAAGTTTTTGGACATCG